TTCTTAATGACAACTTTTAAACTCTAAAATGACTGAACCTTTCAGTTCAAATAACACAAGTTTTACCAAAATGGTTTTTTTTAATATATAAAAGAAGTTTCATATTTTTGCCCCACAAAATTCAAAATTGGCCCCACATAACCTTTATTTTAGCTTTTTTTTCTTGTTATATATATTTAACTTGTACTAAACCTGGAATATTCCTTTAATAGACAAACTGAGTGAGCGGGCGATTATGAACAGAACGATCAGCGGATTTGATTGTGTTGGATTACCACAGCTGTCTTATATAACAGTTATGCTGGTTATCATAGGATTTCACAAATTCATGCAAAGTCTCTGCGTAAGCATACGGTTCAAATCTCTCTTCTTTCTTGTCAGATGGCCTGTCATAGACTTTAAGATGAGACTTTTACCTTTTGTCTGTTTGTATCTCTCCCCTCTCTCATTCTTTACTCCTTCATTCTCTCCGTTCGTTTGCTCTGGTTGTCTTTATTGACTGATACTTTAATTTATTTGAATATGAAACTCGAACAGAAATATCTCTGTGTACAGTATTTTCAGCGGTGTGAGTTTTTGAGTAACCTTTTAAAAAAATAAGGCACAAATACATTTACAAAGTGACTCTGAGGTGTAGTTTAAACCGAAATAAGCAATGTAGGGCACATACTGCAAATGAAAAAAAAAAAAAAAGCAAGACAAACAGAATACCTGGAGGAGGTTTTGAAATCGAAATCTCAAGTTGACAGGACTTAATGTAAAAGCAAAATGTTTGGTCACAACATTATAATAAAATGTAACATATTCTTTTAAATAAATTGATTTATTGACTCAATGGTTCTGTCTGTGTGACTTTTTTTGACCTTTTAATGGCCTCTCAGTGAGATAAGTACTTTCTGAACCAGTGCCCGATGTTTTCAGAGGTGGAGGGGAATAATCCAAGTACATCAAAAAGATGTGGGCACGAGGTGCCAACGCGTAAATAATTTAGCAGCCGTATAAATTGCGAATGGGATTAGTAACAGTAGTGTTGCTCTCTGTGGGTCATGTCACTGACCTTCACCCTGGTGATTTTATCAGGCACTTAACAATTAAAGAACAAATGGGGCCTGAAACGCAAGCCGGCTTGTGTCACTTCAGCAGCCGTATGAGCGTCAGGCCTAGTACGGGTTGTACTGACTTTGCCAGCTGAGGAAGTTCAACCTGCCACCGAAACCTGCTGTACCGGTCTATTAAGTAGTAACCGAGTATGTCATGTACACCTTTATAAATGTCTGGTTAGGGTTGCTCACCAAATCAGACAGAAGTCAGTCAGGATAAACACCTCCAGAGCAGGGGTTTTTAATCATTTAGATGACATGAACCCCCAAATATGATTGTTCTTCAGCAATGGACAGCATCCTATTCAAAAGACAGCTATATATAGACTCATTTATAAAGACCCAATTAATACTATGGAAAAATGCATAATTTTTTTCTGTAAAATTCATCATTGTGTGTTTTATTTCTTACTCACTAGTTTTATTTATTTATTATATAACTGTATGTAGTTATTTGAACTTCTAATTGTATCTCATTTACTTATTTTAATCATTTTTTAATTTTTTAGTTTATTCAAACATTTTTTTAATTTCAAAATCATATTATATCTATTTATTCAAATCGATTTCAAATTAATTTTTTTGTTTATTAATCAAATATATAAATGTTTTATTTATTTAAATCAAATGTATTCATTCATATATTTAGTTGGTTTAATCTCTTTAAACTTTTGGTCACTTACTAAGTTTATTATATTATATTATATTATATTATATTATATTATATATTATTATATTATATTTTATATTATTATATTATATTATATTATATTATATATATAATTTTTTATACAAAAATATATATATAAAACACCTCACTCCAATTGTCACTCCAAGTTGAACTAGTTTAATAAATACATAAAATAAATATCAAGTTTAATACATACAAAGTAAAATTTGCAGTCTTGTCTGACATCTGAACATTATGTCATACTGTGTTTTTATCATAAAACCATGTAACTGTTGCAGTGCTGCAAAATTATTAAATTTTTACCACAACAAGAATAGCAATGTACAGTGAAATAATTGCAAGATTTAACAGTTACACGTCATTAGCTAATAATTGCAACCGCGTTTAAAAAATATTTTGACACGAAAATTCAAATATTTTTCTATTTATGTATTAGTCTGCATTGCTTGAACATCTGTTTTGAGAAATTATATTTCTCCCATTCGAAAGTGAATCCCGCATTCTTGAGGGATTTACATGTCACTCCAGAAACTTTGCTGCTTGTAAACGAAAAACAAAACGAAAAACAAAAATTGTATTCAAATTCTGAACGGATTATATTTAGCCTAGAAAGCGCGCAAATAGCCCTTACTTTATAATCACTAAAAAATTGTCACTTACTAAAAGTTAATCGTGATTTCACAAAGTTCCTTTATAATCAATGAACATCTTATTTACATCGTTACAGTGAGTGTAAATATAATATTTTGGCGATTTCCAGAGCGCAAACACAAATGCGCACAGGAGCTTTTACGAAATCTGTTTCGCCAA